ACAATTAAACAAAGAAACGAGAACACACAAATGCTTAAATGACTCCACCTCAAAAAAAAAAACACACCTCCTTTCCCTCTTCCTCGTCCTTCCACCTCCTCTTCCCCTCCCACCTTCCCCCTTCTCCTAACCTAACACATAGTCAGCGGGATTATCCTTGATCTATTTATACCGAGCGATTACCTTTTGTGTCGTACAGCTCCACCCAAAAATAACATTGAACAATAATTTTGGGAAACGACACGAATTCTGGACCTGACATAACCCCGATTGCCTGAGTTACCCCTCCTTTGTCTCGCGAACAATTGGGCGTTTTTCTGAGTTTTCTGTTTTGTCTGTCTGTCTGTATGTATGTATGTATGTATGTATGTATGTATGTATGTATGTATGTATGTATGTATGTATGTATGTATGTATGTATGTATGTATGTATGTATGTATGTATGTATGTATATAGTGTATGTATGTACGTGAATTATAATACTTTTTCTCTTGTAATACAGTACATAAATTTATAATACTCTAGTGTTAATACGTACACCGTGTAAGGGAAATTATTGAGATAGACTTTAAAACAACCTTGATATAGTAAACAAAAATAATATTAATTACTAGTCATCTCACCTGTTTTATAAAGTGAGACAACTTCCTGTGTAGGGGCGTGGGGGCGTGGGTGGAGGGGAGGGGGGTGACCTCACAAAACCCGACCCATTTCCTTTCATTCTTCATAAAGCTGGTCATTAAAATCCCCAGTGAACTCTAAACGCCCACTGTCTACTCAACAACAATTCTCACGCTAGTTAAGGATGGTTTAGGGGGAGGGGGTCATAACATACATACATACATACATACATACATACATACATACATACTTACATACATACATACATACATACATACATACATACATACATACATACATACATAACCAAAGACTGACAGTACATTAATTTTTAAGTACATTAGCACACCTGTGAACATCTTTATATTATTTCCAGGTGAGTTAAATATGATAAACACTATTTATATTTATATTTTTGCCTTAACCACAGCTGTTCCCCCTTCCCCTCTCCCCTCCCTAAGCACGCTACCCTCCCCTTTCTCCTCCTTCCCTACTCTCCCCTCCCTTCCATCCCCTCCCTACTTTCCTCTATCCCTCCCTACTCTCCCCTCCCTTCCATCCCCTCTTTTCTTCCTATCCTTCTCTCTCCTCTCCCCTGCCCTACCGTATCCTCTCCCCTCCTGCCCCTTCCCCTACCCACTCCCCACCCTACTCTCCCTCCCCCCCCTCTCCCTTCCCTACCCCCAAAAAATATAATCAGCTAAACTCCCTCAGCTTCCATTCACAGCTAAATGTTCAGTCCGCATTAATATCAAGCGAAACAGGAATAATTCTTTGATATAATTCATGAGGGAATTTGATTTTAAAAGAGCTTCAATTTATTATCCAGAATTAAAAAAAAGAAAAAAAAAGAATCTTATTGTTACGAGTTCCAAGCTTTTATTTCCCAATCATCGAATAAAAGCTCATTAAAAAGTATTGGAATGCGTACTTACATAATTTTTAACCAAATTGTACGCGATTGTTGTGTTAATTCAGTTTGGTCATCGATAATGGAAAGCTGTTATTTGTATCATATATAGAGAGACATTTAAACGCGTTGTTATGCCCCAGTAAATAAAACAGTGTTAACAGGGTACAAAAAACACTGACACACACATACACACACACACACACACACACACACACACACACACACACCGATTGTACAGCCGAGTATTAACAATAATTATTCCAATGGTAGTATGAATGTATGGCCGCGTGGTACTACATTAGGTATAGCGAACGTTACTCCGCTTGTTAGCTTTAAAACAAAATATATATCGTTATTTACAATTATTTCACAGTTATATACATCGTTACTGTCATCACCCTAACCGTATATAAACAGGTAAACAGTGCAATCAATCACCGTAACCGTATATAAACGGTATCAATATCACCGTCTGTTTTTATGAGAATAGGTTATATACAGCGATACACTTTTTCCACAATGACAAACTGACAATTAAAATCAAGCCTATTCGAGGGTAATTTATACATATATATATATTTATGCTGTATAGGCTTTATGTCATTTTTAATCACACACGCCGCCTGCCTTCCTACCGTCCGCCCACCCGCCCTCCAGCCTGACCGCCACAGTCCTACATCAACAATAACAAAGAACAGATCACATCCAGTAAGGTCGCGGGAGGCTGGATGGGAACGAGGCTCAGGTAGGTAGGGAGGCAGGCGTTACCTTCCGTTATATTATTATTATTATTATTATTATTATTATTATTATTATTATTATTATTATTATTAAGGATAAGTTACTTGTTCCTTGATCGTCCCACACACACACACACACACACACACACACACACACACACACACACACACCAACGCCCCCCCCCCTCACAAAAAACAAACACAACAACAACACTCACCAAACAAAAGGTTATGACTGAACACCACACAAAAAAAGTCAATAGAAAACGAGGGAGGGTTGTAGTAACATCCTTGACATGAATAGATGATGATGGTGATGATGATGGTGGATAATGACAGCGTAGAGTGGTTTTGTCACCTCTATCGTGTTAGTAAATAATGGTCAATTTGTAAAGGTCCTCTCACTTGTTGCCTTAACTTCACAGACACAGGCATTTGATGTCACACTGTACCATCGCCCCTTAGAGGTTTATATATACGATGACGTCTCTAAAAAACTACTGACATCATCGATTTTTCAATGAGGTGGACACAATGACATCCTAATGTATACAGCTAGAATGAGGTGGGGCAGTGGATGTAACACACACACACACACACACACACACACACACACACACACACACACACACACACACAGAGCCTAATAAAACAATAAGACAAAATAATATTGCTTTTGTAGATGAATACAATGAATTCTGCTAATGTTTTATGACGTGTTAATGTATTAGCTTATGTGTCTGTCTGTCTGTCTGTGTTTCTGTCTGTTTCCGTCTGCCAGTAACTGATTTTATCCGTCTATAATTATGTATACCTGTCTGTCTATTTTTTATTTGTATGTCTGTGCTTCCACCTACGTTTCTGTTTGTCTGTCTGTCTGTCTGTCTGTGTTTCTGTCTATTTGTCTGTATGTCTGTCATTCTATCATCGTGTTATGTCACTCCCATTTTACTAATTCCTTGTCTGTCTGTTTATCCTTTTCCTCTGTCTTTATTTCTTTACTTATCTGTCATTCTGTCTAATTCAGTTATCTTTGTCCCTTGCTGTCTATCTGTCTGTCCTTCCCTCTGTCCTTTTTCCTTCACGTATATGTCGTTTTGTGTCTCTCTGTCTCTCTGTCTCTTTGTCTGTCTCTTGCTGTCTATACATCTCTCTGTAGACACCCATCATACCGTCTTCCGCCACAAGTCACTGTCATGTCGGGGCCAAGGACTGTCAATCAACACTGTCATTCAATAAAAGCAAAGACCTGTTGATGGTTTTCGTGATGTACAGAGAGAGAGAGAGAGAGAGAGAGAGAGAGAGAGAGAGAGAGAGAGAGAGAGAGGAGTGTTAGACGGGTAAGATGGACAGAGGAGGAGGGGTTGAGGAAGGCTGGGGGAGGGATGATAGAGTCTTGTCGTGGAGGAAACAGACAGAGAGATAGTATGAGACAGAGACAGAGAGAGACACTCAGATATAGCAACATGGAGAGGAGTTTTAGAAGGGAGGAGGGAGGAGGGGGGGGAGGGAGAGAAGGAGGGGGGGGTGGAGATGTCGTGGAGGAGACAGACAGAGGCAGACAGTGAGGGACGGAGAGAGACAGAGGCAGACAGTGAGGGACAGAGAGAGAGACAGAGCGCTCGCCCAAGTGACAGCCATTTAGCAGTGGGCGCGTCACTCGGCCCGTCCACTGGGCCCAGCCTGGTCAATATCGGCAGCTTGTTGGAGCAGCGCTGACACAATGTTATCGCCAGTCTGATTTTAATTAGTCAGTCAGTCAGTGGGCCAGCCAGCCTGTTATCTACCCATCCACCCATCAATCTCACCATCCATCACCACTACCACCACCACCACCACGAGGGGATAGTCACGTGGTTAGTAGTGGCTGCCTGGCTGGTGATGGGTAGGGGTGGTTGGTCAGGTGTAACGACGGTGACTGGGCAGCTTGTCACCCCTGTCACCCCTGATGGCTTCCTTCACCCAAATTCCCACACTAAATTTTTTTTTCAATCAATATCTAATATTTCTTCATTACACTACGGACCTAAAATACAACTTAATTACCCCATGATCATTTTAATACACTATTTATTTATATATTACGTATACAAGTGAAGATAAGCTAAAAAAAACTATTACAAAATCCTTCTCCTTGCTGGTGGTAAAAATAATCGTAAGTGACTTTTTTGAAGATTTTTTTTTTTTTTACCGTTTCAGAATTGAGAGTCAGGTACCATGAACACCTGTATGGAAGGAGACTTTCTACACCACCACAGAGACTGAACTCAGAAAAAAAAGTCATTAAAAGTGAAAAATCCATCATTCTTTTCATTATTCAACTCAATGAATGATGTACCGGGAGGTGGTCGAAGGTCCTGCTTGAGCTGAGATGAGGTAAAGAAAAGAAAAAAATCCCCCCCGAACAGAGATCATTATGGAGGGAAATGACGTATTTTTTTCACGTGAGTCCTGTACCGATAGTGGCGCTGGAGGGGGGTGCAGGCCAATACAGTCACGAGAATGTGTAAAAGATAAAGACTCTCTGCCTGAACCCCGAAGCTGATCCTTGAGGGACTTAGGGCACGAAGGCGCGATATAGGGGAAGTATTCTGATGGCAAGAGAGAGGGGGAAGGGGGAGGAAGAGGGGGAAGAGGAATGAAAAGGAGGAAAGGGAAGGGAGGAAAAGTGTGTGTTAGGTGAACCCCTTTCGCTCACCTGTGGGACTTAAAGTTAGGCACTCACCTGAGAGGGTCGAGGGCGGTGGGCAGGTAAGGGAAACTGTAGGGGTAACCGTCCTTCTTCAGGGTCTTGGGCTTCCTGCGGGGACGGTACTTGTAGTCGGGGTAGTCTCTCATGTGCTGCGCCCTGCAGGAGACACGGAGAACTTTTTAGTAATATTTAGACGAGATAAAAAGGAAACGTCTGTGATAAAGTCCAAGAAAGAAAGAAAGAAAGAAAGAAAGAAAGAAAGAAGATAAATAGATATGTAAACAAATAATTAGGTGAATAAATCAATAAATAAAACTTCATTAGAGAAATAATCATCATTACTGAAAAAAAAGGAGTGTTGATTTAGCCAAGATTCCTGTCTTCTGGAACGGAGAAACATATTACCTGACTAATATTTTACACACTTTAGACTTTAATCATCATAAAAAAACTTACACGAGAGGAAGACTTGCCAAAAGGTGTGTGTGTGTGTGTATGTGTGTGTGTGTGTGTGTGTGTGTGTGTGTGTGTGTGTGTGTGTGTGTGTGTGTGTGTGTGTGTGTGTGTGTGTGTGTGTGTGTGTGTGTGTGTGTGTGTGTGTGTGTGTGTGTGTGTGTGTGTGTGTGTGTGTGTGTGTGTGTGTGTGTGTGTGTGTGTGTGTGTGTGTGTGTGTGTGTGTGTGTGGTGGGTCTTGGGAGGAGACAAGAGTCACTCATCTGCCACTTCTTTGTAAACTGTATGACAAGTTGTCTTCGTGGTCGAGCTGAGAATTTCCGGCCTCCTTGGACTACACGTCAATCTCATTTTACACTAGTTACCTCTTTTACTGTTATTATTACCCTCTCTCTCTCTCTCTCTCTTTCTGCTTTCACACCTACGTCTTTATCTCACTTTTGTTATATTTATCTTTCTTTTTAATGATTCTGGACATGTCTTTAACACACACACACACACACACACACACACAGGTATCGTCTCCCATTCTTTTTATCGTCGTTTTACCTCAGTATTTGTTCATTATCCTCATCCACCCATCGTCTTCCATCTAGTACCGCTGGTGGCCGCTGGTCCCCCCGGGGCGCTGGAGCCGACAAGAATGTAAACAAGCCAGGAACCAAGGGAACAATAACAAGAAGAGCTGGATTATAGACGTTTTTAAATGACTTCCATTGTTGGGCTTTATTTCGCGCGTAGTTCCAAAAACAATGGCCACGACTACACTGATACAACTGCAGTTTCAGCTCTCTTTATTCATGAGGGAAGAGCGGAGGAGGAAGGGCTGAACTGAATGACACACCAGAGGCAGTTCACCAGTATGTTCTTCAGGCTCTCGGTGAGGGAGTGAACGTCCCTACTCCTCCTCACACTCAACTTCTGACTGACCAAGTTTGTTCCGTCGCCATGAGAACATTCTGTCTTGGGTGATGTTGTTGACACTAAGGAAAATACTTTGAAAATAGTTTGGTGTTACTGATATCCACACGCAAACACATACAGTACACACCCCTGTACACACATACACATACACCCTCCCCCCTCCACACACACACACTATACACCTAGACGCTGGCGGTGATGAGGTATATGAAATAAACAATTAAAACACACCGACGATAAAGAGATAAGAAGAGCGGAATAAAGCGTAAAAGACTGGAAGAAGGGCTCTCGAGGCGGGACCGGCGGCTGGCTAAGACTCCATTGTATTTTCAGGTGTGGGCAAGAAACAATATTACCCTCTGCGACGCTTATTAAAACACCAGCATCTTCTTCCTCCACCTCTACTCCAACCACTTCTAAAACTTTCCTCCTGACACTAAACCCCGACGTGTAGATGGTTTAGTTGTGTAGGTTTAGTGAGTATAGGTAGGAGTAAGCGGGAGTGAGGGAGTTATTATAACCGGGCGGTGTAGGAACCCAGCTGGTACAAGGGTGTTAGGCAAACTCGTCCTCTTCTTCAGGTCTATTCTTCTCGCTCAGGAAGAACCTCGTTAAGGGGGCATTGTGGAAGGGGTCCGCCGGGTTTATTTCTCGACTGTGTTTTTTTTCCTTTGGGTTTATTTGAAGATCTGGTGTTGGTTTAAGATGGACGGGGGGGGATTTTTCTTTGGGATTTATTATCAAGAGGAGAAAGGGAGTTGTTTTTGTAGAGGCGGTCTGGTGTTGGCTCCTGGTACAGCCTCTCTGGTGGGTGTTGTGTTCCCAGCCTGGTCCTGCACCCTATGTCTCAATAGACGTCCAACACAGAATCTTAAATAAAAACCAGAAATTACAAAGACACTTGATAAATAACGCACCACAGTGGACTTGACTCGCGTCTTAAGTGTTCGAAATGTGCTTCAATGCTTCATATGGCTGACTGTGTTGAATAAGGAGTTAAAGAAGAGTCGAGTAAAATTATATTGTTTGGTTACATGAATTACCTCACTGCCGCCCGCCTTTCATCACTAACTGACACAGTATTTTACCGAGTGAGGGAGTTGATTTTTGTTCGTCCTATTGCCTGTACACCACGAGGCACCGCACTGACGCAGCTTTCATCAATTCTTGGATACATTTGTTATTGTTTACATTACGATAACTGCCCTGTCTATATTCTTAGGACTTAATTCTACGATAATATATTTTCCACTAAATGTTTTGACGGTGATCGTCTGCCAGGATTTTAAATTATTATCTTTTTAATCTGTCTGCTACTTGTCACTACTGTAATAATTCATTTGATTTGAACTGTATTTTGTAATAAGGATGATTTATGTTGTATCGTGTATATTTCGTATATATTGTCTTATGGTGATTGGCATGTTAATTACTGAACACCTTTCCTTATATAGAATATCTTATACTTTCTAGTATGCGTTGGTTGGGAGTATACTCGACATATCAGCGAAAAGTCTGTTTACTCTTGGGTTGAAGTGGCTTTAGTGAGGTATGCGAGTATATTGCAAGATGATGGGTATAACAGACTGACATGAGTGACTGTGGACGAGTATACGACACACAAGGTTGTAAGGACAGAGCTCAGTGACACAGCGCCACCACCAATCAAGACTCACAGGTTGAACGTTCATAGCTTCTGAGTGAGGACCTTATTCTGAAAAAAACTTATCACATAATCTTGGGTAACTTGTCTTCTTAACGACCTGGTCACTGATTATTTCTTTTTCAAGGTTTTTTCGAATTTACAGTCCTGCGCCAAACTCCTCACCTCAGCACCGTCGTTCCTCGTAGACTCTCGGCTGTGTTGTGCTCTGCTCCTGAAGGTGAATCATCCAGTAATGACGTTCACTTACGGGGAGTAGAAGAGCCTCAGTGGTCGTAATGCAGCTCCATAATCCTCCTCCTCTTCAGTCTTGTTAACTGTTGCTTGATTGTGGAAAATTCTCTGCTCCTTTGATCCATCGAAATCCCCACACTCTGTAGCCTGGCCTCTTCCTCCGTGCCGCTGGAAAACTCGTACCCCCACAACAGGAACCAAAAAGGTCTCAAACTGCCAGGTACTTGATGGTCTCCCAAGATATTCCAGGAATGACAAAGGTGGAGCTATGCCGGTTGTTTACATCGCGTTACTGATTCTACTCACTGCACCAAAATTATAGTGTGTTAGGGAAGCGATGTGTGGGGGAAGGAGAGACCGTGATAACTTGTGGGATCCCGCCAGGAGAGTCCCGTTCATTAGTCATCACCAGTGGCGCCATCTACTAACCCACCAGATTTCGAGACAGTAGTCGAACACCACAACACTACGATCAGTGGGGTAAATAGTGATGAATATACACGAGTATGCTGGGCAGTACAGGGTATATTAGGAATGAATAATGAGGGTTTTATATACTCATTTATCCACTCGTCAGTACTTCCTAACTCATATCCTTAATTTCCACTTCATTATCACATTTATTATTCTCTTTTGTTACGTTATTATCTCTTATTATTTCCCTTTATTTTCGTCTAGGATCATTTTCTTGAACCTCTCTCTTTTTCTTATGTCTTCTTTATTCTTTGTTTATATCCTAACCCTTCATCGTTACCATTAGACTCTACCCATGAAATCAAGTGCTACAGGAGGGTGCGGGGGGTGTAGGAGTAGGGAGGTGGTGGAGTAGAGGGGGTGGAGGGGGGGTGGAGGTGGACAGCCCATTAGCGTCCTCGTAGCGGCGTGATTAAACCCAATTGATTTCAGCTCCACTTTTTTGAGAATGTCCTTTAAATGAAAGTTACTCCCCTGATTGCATAAACATACGCACCTAAAACGCCTCTAATGACAAAAATGAAAGAGAAATCATCAGTATTGGTAATCATCCTCCCCCTTACCTCTCCTCCCCCCCCCCTTCCCCTTCCCCTCCTCTCCCTTGGCTCGGTAAAACAAAAAACAACCAAAAACAAAAGGGGGGAAAAAAGAGGCGGGCAAAAAGGAGCTGTCACAGCCTCTTAGCGACCAGATGGGGTTTTTATGCATGAGACGCGAAGGAAGAGGGGGTGACTTAGGGCGCAAATGGCAGTTGTTGAGGGTAGTGATAGCATCAATGGTTTTCGATTAGTCAAATTAGCTTGTTGACACCGAGGTAAACGACGCCCTTTAAGGTGGAAACGATAGAGGGAACGAGGTGGTTGAAGGAGAGGCATTCCTCAGGCCAGCCAGGAGTGAAGGAAGGGTTTAGGAGAGGGACGTCGACAGGTGTCACATCTTAATAATTGGCTTGGTCACCTGAGTTACGGGGGTTTAAAGCGAGGATCAACCTCGCCCCACCCTGTCCTGCCCCACCCCGTCCTGCCCCATCCTGCCCTGCCCTGCCCCATCCCACCCCCTTTTCATGCTTGCCTCCTGCCCCACCCTGTCCTGCTCCACCCGTCCTGCCCCATCCTGCTGCTCTGCCCTGCCCCCATCCCACCCCCTTCATGCTTGCCTCCTGCCCCACCTTTCCCTGCTCCACCCTGTCCTGCCCCATCCTGTTCTGCCCTGCCCCCACCCCCTTTTTATGCCCTCTGCCCCACACCCATCTCACCTCCTCCCCTGTCACACACTTCACCACCTCTACCCTCCCCCACCACACCTCTATCCCTCCTTCCCCCCACCACGATTTCTCTGGGGTTGATTCTAAAGACGAACTTCTCCAGAGATATAAGAATGCATGTAAATTATTTTGTTGAAGGATATA